CCTGACGCAGCCCCGCCACCACCCGGCCCACAGCTCCGCGATCTCGACGTACAGCGCTCGGCGCGCGTCTTCCTCAATACCCGAGACGCTGTCCGAGTGCTCTGGGATCAGTACTGGGACTTTCGCATGTCGCCGATTTGCACCATTATGTGCATTGCCATGTCGCTCTGGGGCTGTGTCCTCATCGTGCATCTCTGGTACATATGTGGTCATCTTTGTTTACATTTCGAAACACTGTGGTCTAGGCTTGTGGTGGCTCCTCTCACGTCGTGTCCAGACGCGTGTCTCGAGGTCATCACGCCCTTCTTCACAGCATCGGGGGGATGTCACTGTGTGTATTACCATCTGCGCTGCACCGACAACGACACTACCAGTCATTTGGAGGCCCGCCTGACGCCCACCCTTCTTGGCCGTGACCTGCACTATGTGGGGCTCTCCCACTGCGACTACCTCGTTGACGGATTAAACGCGTCGATTCTCCAACCGTTTGACCATTTGGCCGGCTTTGGCATTGCGTTTTCACCCCTCACGTCGTTTAACGTCTCGGCGAGCGTTTTACCCAAGTCGCTCTTGTACCTCGAGCTCCGCTACACGTCGCTGCGGTCGATCCCCGAGCTTGCAGCGACGCTCAACGAGTCGAACGTCATTTCGCTGGTCCTGGATGGCAACGCGATTTCCATTGTTCCGGAATCGGTCCGTACAACGTGGCGCAAGCTACTGTGGCTCTCGGTGGCCGAAGCCAACTTGAGTTATATTCCGCTCAGTGTCGCGACCTTGCCGTTGCTAGAGTACTTGGACGTCCACGGCAATGCCATCACCGACGTGCCCGTGCAGCTGCTGGGCGCGCGGCAGCTGCTTAGCGTGAGCTTGGCGACCAACAGAATTCGCCAAGTCCCGTCGCTCTTTCTGCAGTCGCCGCCGTCGTGGCTACTGGACGTGAGCTGCAACCCGCTCGTGTCGCCTGCCTCGTTACCTCCGTGGATCCTTGCAGCGCCGTGCATCGACGGCTGTGCCCCGATGCTTGTTGGCAACGGCGTCTGCAACCGCCCGTGCAACACGTCACAGGCGCACTGGGACGGCGGCGACTGCGCATTTTCGTAGGCTCCTATGCAT